CTCAGTCCCACAAGCAAAGTTTGCAGCTGAGTGCATCGCAAATCTAATCTGATTCCACTGTTGGTCTACTCCACTATCTCGCAGTTCTCCTAGCTCCTTTCCAGCTTCTCCTCATAACGTGCGCCGACAGATGGATCTCATAGACGATGGTGAGCTGATTGAGGAGGCGATTTCTGCCGATAAACTCTCCCGTTGTGCCGAAAGTTGATGCTAGATAAAAACAGCCGATGATCCGCGCAGAACTGAACTAGTCGATCACCGTTGTCTGTTCGCTGGGCGAGGAGGGCAGAATGCTCTCCTAGGCAGGCTTCGAATGCGTTCAGTTTTCCAACCTGCACGTTAAAGTCACCTACCAGCACTATAATATCAGAGTTGCGGCTCAATCAAATCAGTTCGGCGAGTTTGTCGTAAAATTCGTCCTTTTGTGAAGAGAGACTGCGGTTGGTTGGTGCATACGCGGAAATTATGAACAACCCTTTTGGTGTTGCATGAATAAATGCACAGAGCGATTAGGTAGAGTAGGTGTCTCTCGGCTTCCGGGTTGGGGTCCAAAAGACTCCGAAACCGCATGGTTGGGGACACTGGAGATCATGGCTGCGAACCGACAGCAATTGCGGTCATGTTTTCACTTCTTATCAGACCAGAATGCTTGAAATAGTATGTATGCACAGCTATACTGTTTGTTCTCTGTGCCGACCATAGAGGTTCGCTTTTTTCCCGTCCCTAAGAATAGATCTAATCCCTGTCCTCCTTTCACATTATCACTTACCTTGTATGCAATATGAGTTTGGCAGCGATCAGTGAAGTTCGCTTCACTGTATTACGCTGTACAATCATGATGATGTTGCTACCCCTCCGAACACTAGCTGAACCCTGTAGCCTCATTGCACATCTATCATAAATACTTCAGTTTTATCGTTTAGTACGATACCTACACAACGCTGACCCAGTGAGCGTCTCCTGATGTGCGAAGGAAATACCTCGAGGACATTCAAGTGGCTTATAATACTAGGATCATGAATTCCTGTCTCCGATACGCAACAGACATCGATTTCTAGAGACTGCATTGTACGCGCAAGACACGATTGTTGACCCACCTGCATAAGAGTCCTCACGTTGGAAGCCGCCAGATTCAGAGGTTGACGAAGCTTTAGAAGGTGCACTTTATTTACAGGAAAACCAGTTACAGTGCTGTTTGACAAAGACCTTTGGCGAGAGACGACCAAGTTGTCTGAGGGAATATTACGGGTCGGAAGAAGGGGTAAAAGGTTAGGGTTGGGTACAGAAGACAAAGAGTTGAATAAAGGTTGGAATATCTGAGCAGTAGCCCACTTATCACTACCCACCCCGCTCGATGCAATGGGCAGCGCGGTCCTGATTATCCTGCGCGACGACCGATGCAGTATGAAGTTATTTTTTGCTTGTGTTCATTGGAGCTTTATGGACGGGTACTGTCAGAGTGTCCAGCCACTAAGCAGAAGAACAATTCGATTTCTCAACCAAAGCCTTTAGTTGTGACAAAAACCTAACCGCAAGGCAGCGGTTAAGGCGGATTGGAGGCCCATTAACTTGGATCATTTATTCCTCCAACACGTTTTATCGACCGACTCAAGTCGAATCCCCAACCTGGAGGACCAGGAGACTGGACTTCGTCTGACATCTACCCATTGACCTTCCAGGCAAGATTAGATTTTTGGATCGACAAAAGCCATCCTGTGTAGCTCGTTGGGTCGTAGAGGTGCACAAGGTGCAGTCTCATCTTCCCTACGCAAACCAGTCACGTGCGAAGTAGTGTTCCGGGTGTACCGAAATCAGATTTCACAGGTTTCACAGGATCATTTGTTGTTAAAATGCGATTCTCGATGTCCTGTCGTGTGGCTTGATGGCTGCGGACTCTGATCTCGTTTTTCATTTAGGGCTCAGAGTTGTTCCATCATCCGCTCGGGACCGGCAATAATAAAATACAAATAAAATTCCAGGTGAACTGACATTCACGCCCTCCTGATGCCCTCGAAATCGTAAGCAGCTTGATTAAGTTGCATCGTTCTAGTTGTGATTCCTTGAATAATGTTCTCCATGATAGAGTTATGAGTCCCAGCTTGTATGTGTACATACCTGGCACGAAACGTTTTCCTCGGTGCTCATGTAGTACTCTGGGACCGACGTTCAAACCGCTTCATCTCCACCCAACTTGGTTTGCATGGAGCTTGGCTGTCGTCTAGCTGATACCGATTTTTTTAAGCTTTAATACGGTTTGTAAGAATACAACTTTACGACGTCTTGTTTATGGAGCTTTTTTTAGAGCATCATTCATTTTCGCACCATGTTTCAGGAATTCGGTTACAGGTTTCCAATTTCATTGTGCTTTACCGTGACCGAGGTCTCCCTTGTACTGTTCATCACACTGGTTCCTACGGCCATTGTATTGATTTCGCGCGTCTATAAATGTCTCCATTTTGCTGTTTCGGTTTTGATCTAGTTGATTCCCCCCTGTTGTTGGTTTTCGACAATTCACCGATGAATGTTTATGTGATTTAACTGATTCCAGAAGGGACGACTGCATTCACTCATTTAATGAGCGATCAAGTTGCAACTATGAAGGGTCTATCTCGGTCGGCTTACCGATTTAGAAGAGAGGTAGCAGACTTTCTTGTACGGGATTTGAACGTTGATTTCATTTCGTTTCACACAGGCCCTTTTGTTGGTGATCCTCGTCAATAAATCTAAATGATTTCTCCTAGCCTATACATTACGCAGTTTATTTAGCTTGCTTAACTATTTTTATACCACATCATTCGAAAGTGTGCTTAGGCTGCTTTTATGGAGAGCAGTGTGTTGTCTTGTTGCAGACAGATAACAACGGAAAGTCGTTATTCGAACGCATCCTGCATATATGGTGAATTTAATGAACTGAGGATGGTATATGAATTGACAGTTTGAAGAATCAGTCATTCGGTTAAGGCTATCGTGATAAACTGGAAGTCGTGATTGTCAATCCAGATCCCCCATTTCTGAATTTTACCTTGCAACCTTAGTTTAGCTCCTTCCCACTGATCTCCGTCAATGTGCATACTTTTCCGTTACCCCCGATATTCCTGTAGGTGTTGCGTTGTTGAATGAAGCCGGACCCGCAAAATCGGATGGTACACGCACTGCAATTCAAAATTCTGGGACCGCTAATTCAGTCGACCGTCGATCACATTCCAATCACACTTCCTCTACCCGAGGTGATGAACGCCAGTCTGCGCAAACGCGACTTGCATCTCAACTGGCTGCCATTGAGGCTGAGCAAGATCCGTCACTTGTGCGTCTTGGTGATGCGAGTATTGCTGCTCCGTTCACCGCGAAAATGTCTTCACCATCGGGAGGTCAGTTCCCCTATAAGATGATCACATTACAAAAATGATTTCGGCTTCACCTCGGATTCTGTTGCGTGTGTTTGCTGGTCCTCTACCATTTACTGTATGTTGGATAGTTACCGAATAGTTGATCATCCTGATTCGTTTGCGTCATCCATGATTGCATTGGGATTCTTGTCTCCGTCGAGTGTCCTCTGCATTACTGTCCCTAATTATTATTCCAGATCGGTGTCATAAAAACTTATCTTATTTTATTATTAACTTTGCCTAAGAGTAGCGAATTTGGATTTGCCCATTCAGTTTTTCATAGGCACCACACACTGTTGATGGTCTTGACTGTGGGTTTCGCTCCTTGGGTGTTCGGTAATTCCCCACAAGTTTTCAATGCTTTTGAACGCGATGGATATATTTGTGATGACCGACAAAGAGCACTGGACAGCTGTTTCGTCCTGTTTGGGCCTCGCATTGGTACGCACTTTTCCAGTCCTGACAGGAACACACCCGTAACCGTCTGGTGCCTGTGAACAGTAGAATGGCTTATTCCAAAGTTGTTACTCCTAATTGCCTAATTGTCAATTCACACAAGGTGATGACCGTCGACTTTGCAGCTCATGGGTAAGAGTTTAAAGTCCCGACCGGATTTTTCACGGTTACACTTCTGATAAGGATACAAAACGTATGCGTTGTTGACAAGTCCCAAGCAGGACAAAACAGCTGTCCAGTACTCTTTGTTGGTCGTCGCAAATCTTTCCATCGCTTATAATTGACATTTTATTGTTTCGATCAGTTATTCGTGGCTATCTCACATTTCCATCCCTCGTATGTGGGATGGATCAAGCATTGTCATGCTGAACTCGGTCAGTAGGGGAGGTCAGTATTCTTTTTTTTGTTGCTTGCATTGCCATTATTCACGCAAAACTATTGCATTTTATTCATTCGGATGTTACTAATCCTGTATTGAATGCCCCCTTTCTTTGCTGTGAACCACGCCACATCAGTGTGCCAAATTATCAAACAAGGCCGGNAGGCCGGTGTACGTTGGTCACCACACTGCAAATGTACAAAATTCTGGCCATCAACGCGTTGGTTTCCGCGTACAGTTTTTCTGTTCTGTTTCTGAAAGGATTTAAAACATCCGACGCACAAGCTTCAATACAGGCCATTCTTCTTTCCGCCTCGTTTCTGTTCATCTCACGATCTAAGGTACGTTTCGTTTTTTGTCCAACCAAGTAAGCACACAGATGAGTCAATTTTTCACCTTTGTTTACACCGTATCAGTGAATGTCAAAGCTACGAAATTGAGCAGAATAAGGAATTGAATTAGAATAACTCGGACTTCAAATTTGTTCAGTTCATGCAACCTAGAAACATGAAGCAGTGATTGCGTCAGTCGCTTTGGAATAAGAAATCGAGACTGTTGTTCGGGAAACAATCGAAAACCCATCGGCGAGGCTAGTAGGAACGATAGTGGAGCAAACTAGGCGATGCGGTACCACCCATCACACTGGTCATCTAATTCGCCCCCTCTCCAATCGAAGAAAAGTGTGACTTCTGTTTCGATGTTGATCTGCCTTCCTTTTTGTCAACCGAGTGGTTGTCTCAAAAGCACTCCATCGCATAGTTTTGATGCAGTTTCACAAAGGACATCCAGATGTAAACCAAATGAGAGTTATTTACTGACCCAGTCTATGTAAACATTTGGAGCGAGTATGTGGGAGCTGTGCTCAGTGTACCACAACACGAAAACTACCTAACCGACAGTTAATCCGACCTTGACCGAGACCAAAACATCCATGGATTCACCTCACTGAACTGATCGATGGTTAGATATTTGTAATTGACGTTTTCGGTTCGTGACCAGTGTTACACGGTCCACTATCGCGACAACAACAATTTCGAAGTCAGATCAGCCGCTTTCAATCTTGGGCTTTCCGGAGACCCGTGTGCCCGATGATTGCAATGGGTTCACACAGCAAGTCTCCGACTCCACCGGGAAACAGTGTTACACGTATCGCCCTCCCCCGTCGTTTCACCTTCAGTCAAGTGGACAAACGGAAAGGAACGTGGACACCTATCGGGGCCTTCTGTGGTTCGCCACTCCAAGTCCCGGGGCTCAGGTTACCGGTTACCGTCACTGAACAGCAGATCCTCGTGACTATGGCGTCCGCTCCGACTGCTGTTGATCACACACTTGTGTGTAATAAAAAAACCTTGATACACGCATCGGAAAGGGGGTGGGGGAGGAAGGCCATGAATTACGTAACCGATTTGGGAGAACCCTGCTGAACTTCCAGGCCACGAAGAACATGACCGGGAAAGATAGTCATCCTCGTCATGCTAACTAGATGATCGNCCTGATCTACAGTGTCTAGATGAATGTTTTATTGTGCAATCGCCAAATCAACTTATTTCGCCGGTATCCCGTTCCCACTGCTCGAGAACTCTCGTTGAGCCTCGAACTGCTCCTATACACTTTTGATTTGAAGGTCCACATCGGTGGTTGATGTTCCACTTTTATAGACGGTGATTGACCCGATGATGCAAGGATGACGGTGGACTAATCCGACTGATTAGCCCCGCACATCGTCATATGGCCCCGCTACCTTGTAACGTGGATACATTCATCCTGTTTGCGTATCGTTTTTTCATCTCTCTCCATATTCTCTCTCGCACACGCACATCTGTAGATGGTATCTGAAAATTTGCTTTGTTCCAACCATCTTGCTCTTTGTGTTTCACGCCAACGGTACCTTTTGTTATTATTCGGTCATTCGACAAATATTTACCGCACATTGCACATTCTCCACACGCCTCGTATTTTATGCTTTGAATCACGTAAGGCGCACTGCAATGAAAATACGGTACAAAGAAATTTCACCGCAGACATCAAATTACGCCTCGTTTTAGCCTCTCATCTGTTGCAGAAGACTGACCACTAACAAAGTAAAGATGAAATACACCGTTTTGTGTATTGCTTGGTTAACGTGAAAACTGTAGAATGAAATTTCCCTTTCTCTCTCTCTCTCTATATATATATATATATGAACATGATAAACAGTTGATGCAAGTGTTAAAAAATGCCGATGATCTGATATTTTAACGGTGTGTTTTATTCTTGATAACAAGCACTCGATAATCTGTTTTCTTTCGGTTTCTCTCTCAATGTATAGCCTTTGAAGACGCTGTCTCACACACGCCCTATTCCCAACATATTCAATCTGTACACGTTGTTAACGGTGACATTACAGTTCTTGGTCCACTTTTCCGTTCTTTATACTCTTACACAAGAAGCTGAAGCTCGTATGCCTGTCAAGTAAGTTTCCTTGATTTGTCATACACGGTGTATTGATTTTCATGGTTTTATGAACACATGCGTGCGTACCCATATATATATATATAATGTATATGTATATGTATATGTATATGTATATGTATATGTATATGTATATGTATATATATAATGTATATGTATATGTGTATATATATATATATATATATCACATTAACCTTGTTTGCAATACCGGGTGACCATTGAATAGATAGCTCTTTCAGAGCCAGTCCAATGAAGAATTCTTTTACTTCATCATCCAGAGAGACAGTCATGAGAATGCAACCAACTCGGCGCACGAAAGTTCTAGGTTAATGGTTATAAAATTCAAGTTTGAGAGTTCGAAGTTATTTGGAATTAAAGAAAGAAGTCAATTGAAAAGAGGGAGGGTTTTCCAAATGGGGCCTAAGACTCCGCAGCACATACCCTTTTGCCAGGTCTTGATTTGACCGCCCTGTGCTTTATTGCACCCACTAACTGCCTCCAAAAATATCGCTCGCCGTGACAGCCTATTTGGTGACATACGTAACACACGCCCCAACCAACGTAATCTATGGTCGAACACTTGCTCCTAGTGAGCGACCGCTTTTACCCAAAACTCTGCGCTGAACCTTAGCAGTGCCGGTTCCGGTCGCCCCACCAGACTCGTGCAATGCGACGTAGACAGCGGTTTTCAACCACCAATAGTCTGCATCCAGTTTTCTTGATGGGCAAGTTTCTGCGCCACATAGCGGGATTGGCCGAACTACTGAAGCATATGCTCGACTCTTAACCTACAGCCGGATATCGCGTCAGCGTCACTGTTGCTTCAAATTGGCAAATACCAATCGAGTCTTCTGTATGCATGTTGATCCTCCGTTAATGTCGCGTCTGCCTGGTGAGATGTAGCTGCGTAGATAGTAATGCTTGTTCACTACCTCTTAGTGTTCCAGCTTGATTGATGTTGAGAGCTGGACGAACCCAGTCGAGGAGCATTACAGAACTGATGTAAACTGAAAACTGAATGGCAATCAGAATTGCGACAAACAGCACTTTGAGACTGTTCTTGAACTGTCCAGTTTATATACACCTGAAAGTACTGTCGTGTTCCCTTTCTATTGTAATTCGGTCGGTAATTTACACGTTTACGGAAACAGAAACAGGATTGAAGGTAATCCTTAGCACGATGCCCAAGTTTTTCTTAGTCAGATCCGCTCCATCCATCGATCTAGTGTGAAGAACCAGAATGAAGTTATCAGGACACCTTTTCCTTTATTCTGCATAACATTGCTGTCCAATTACCTGTTATCACATGCTGGTACGTTGTCCTTGTGTGCCTCTATCCCCTCCTGATATGATACATCATTCTCACCCGTACTATCAATGCCTCACCGATAATTAGGGAAGATGACTTCGTGGATGTTCACGCGGAATTCGAACCCTCCATATTGAACACTGTGGTCTATCTGATTTCTACTAGTATGCAGGTATGTTACGTTTCTGTTCTGTTCTCTGTTTTCTCACTTATGTCCAGTTTTTTCCATGACCCCCTCACTTTTTGAGTGTCTTTTTGGTGATCTCTGTTTGGACCACGATTACACGTTTTGTCCTTGATTTTCCTGTCTGGTCGCATATTGCCTATTGTTGGTTTTGCTTCCCGCTGTGGTTTACCGTTGCTGCCCTCAATGTTTTTTTACGGTCCGTTCGACTAACATTCATCATCAGCGCACACGATCGATTTTGACCGGTCGTAACCCGGATCAGATTTAAACACTTATCGTAATATATATTTATATATTTAACACCGGCTTGAGATCAAGCTTGGTACCAACGCCATGACAATATTAACAATAACAATAANGGGGGGGGGGGGGGTAGGATACAGAGTATAGGGAAAAGAATGTAGCTGTCAGAATAGGAGATTACGAATAAAAGGCATTACAATTTTTTGGGTGTTTCACCGTACACTTTTTGAATTGTTTTTTGTTCTTACGGAGTACGGGATTTCGATAGACAGACCGTACAGCGTTCGCACCATTGACTTCTATTCCGGGCCATATCTCTCAGCGTCTCTAACCAACGACAATC